CTTGGATGGTTCTTTTGAGAACAGGACATTTATCTTCTTGGCCTCTGCTTCTCTAATGGATCTCCTTAGCCTGATAGCTAGTGCTATGAGCCATTGTTTAGTGGTCTTTAGGGCTGTGTTGGCAAACGTGTCAAAGGTGACATGCCACAACATTTTGGGTGACATGCCAGTGTTCACCAACACCCAAGAACAACTAATCTCCCTGTTTGAGTTAGCAAAGGAACCGAGTTTATTTTACTCGTATTTCATTTTTGTAATTATTTGACATTTCTTTATGTAATACATAGCACCACACACGATTGGACTGTATTTTTTTTTAAATAAATGAGTATGTAAAGAATTGTCTCTAGGGCTTCCAATGGAGCCAGACTCTTGTATTTTTTCAGTAGCTGAGGCTTATCCTTAATCTTCACACCCTTCTGTAGTTCCACCAGTTGACTTCTCTCTGAGTTGCCTTGATCTCAGCCTCCAACCTCATTTTCCAGGGGGGTATGTACTGCTGTTCTTCTTCAAGTATCTCCAGTCTTACAGTGGCTGTAGTGTATGCCCGTTCATTGGTTTGAATTATGGTGGTAGTAGGGATTGTCATGAGGGCTCTATTGGCATCTTGTAGCATGCTATCTGATTTTATATATAAATTTATATATAAATAAATAAAACCCCAAACTGGAAAAAATATATTCCAAATGAAAAGTGTTCTACATTTAGCTATTATGCTTTTTCTCCCAGTATCGTACAGATTTTTCTCACCATGGATAGGTAGTCGAGGTGGAAGTTTCATCAGTTGTTGCTTTATCTGCTAGGCCACTGTTGCAGGAAATGGACAAGAAAAAGAAGTTGGCAAAGATTCCCTGAAATGTTTGATCTGCAGAAATTAGTTGATGAAGCTTTGTCTATCCAGATGCAAAGCAACAGTTAACAGCTGTTACTGAAGGAGCAGACTGCTTTCAGAGATGATACATAGCCATTCACTGGAGGCTTTCAAGCAAAGCTCTAACAGCCCTCCACCAGTGAAGTCTACACTCCAGATTCTGCAGCAAGCAGTTGAACTCGATTACATTCAAAGTCTCCTTCCAACTCTATTTATTATTTATATTTATATCCTCACAGAACTAATGCAGCACACACAATTCTTTACCCTGCCCATGTATTAATTTCCCAGCAATCATGAGAGGTAGATTAGAAAAATAGGAAGTTGCCACACTGTTATCACTCCAGTCAAGTATTAACTACAGTGACTGGCAATAGCCGTTTAGGGCTTCAAGCAGGAATCTTTCTATCCTACCCGAAGATATCAGAGACTGAACTTGGGATCTGTTTTACGCACACCCCCAACTTGTTACATTAGGCTCAGAAAGACTAGTCAGCTCAAAGTCACCCATTGACTAGATTCAAACAAATCACATTAAGCCATGTTTTGTTTAACAATGACTTCAAGAATAAGCCATAATTATCTGGGTTAACATATCATGATAAGTTATAAATCATGGTTTAGAAATCTCAGTGATTGAGTTCATATAAGATGCTAAACTAAACAAATTGCATTATGGTTTACTACTATGTGTGGAACATACCAATGAGTTAAACAGCTGAGAGGATTTGAACCTAGCCTTCAACCATCCAGATCAATCACTGGCCTGCATTGTCTCTCATTTCTCATTGCCACAGATCAAGCTACTAAAAGATATGTAGAGAACTATAGATATACTGTAATGCATTGTCATTTTGTTTAATCCATTTAAACTTTGGCCTTCTGAAAGTTTATGACTGCATGCCTGACACCAGTCTATCTGCATTACATTTTAGCTTTATTCTAGAACAAAACATTTGTAAATCTTATTGTGAGGATGGTCAATAACATGAATGGTTTTATAAGGACATGAAACAAATATGGATTAGGATATGCAAAGCATACTGTTCCACGAAGTGAAGATTCCCAGGATACCACAATGTTTCATTCTTCTTTCTAACTGTACCAATCCAGCCACTCCACAGGGACTGTGGAGTCCTTGGTGTTCTCTGAGTTTGGTTTTTTTCTTGCAGACGTTTTGTTACCTGACTAGATAACATCTTCAGTGCTTCAGGGAGTGGAGTTTGCTGTCTGCTTATATACAGTAGCTTGCCCTGTCAGTGTTGGGGTGTGTGTGTGTTGTTTTCTCCTTGGTAGTTCCTTGAATAGGCTGTTGTTTACTGCTTCATTATTTGTCTGAGTTGGTAGTTCCTTGATAAGGGTATTTTTTTACTGCTTGTTTGTCTGGTGTTAATCCTGGTGTTAATCCCTACTTATCTGGGTGTTGATTGCTGGAGGAGGTGTTCTGGTCTTTTTGTTTCCTTTTTTAGCTTTTTATTGTCTCTTCTGAATGGTGTGTAAATGTTGTTTATCTTTCTGTGCCTGTTGATGACTGACTTGTCTAAATACCAAGCTTCCAGGAATTCCTTCATGTTTTTGGAATTAGCTTTCCACAGGGATTCTGGTAATTTTCCTGAAGTACCTATTCTGGAACAGGAAATGGTTTGTGGTATTCTAGAATATTCCAGTAGTTCTTAGAAAGGTCAATTTTATACATCCCTAGCATGGAGGAAGAAAGGTTTATCAATGGCAATTGCTCATGATATCTCAGTGGACCCTCTATGCTTAGAAGCACTATATCTCTGAATGAATATCAGATGCTGAAAACAATGGTAAGAAATATTTATTACTCTCATATTCTGTTTAGCCACTGTGAGAAACAGGATGCTGGATTTTAATGCATTTTCACCTACCTAACAATAATGCCAGCCTCCCTATAGTAATCTTGACTTGCTGTGAAAAACAAATTAGGAGAGAGGAAAAAATGACCTTGAGATGAGAACTGGAAAGAGCCAACAGCATTAACTACCAACTTCTACAAAAAAAGATAAAAGTAAAATAAAAATGAACAGGTTGCCTTAATGAGTACAACATTCATTTTCTGAAAATAAATCTGTACAATGTGAGTTAGAGTACTGTATATAGTGGTACCTCGGGTCACAAACGTTTCTGTTCATGAACAATTCGGGTCACGAACAGCACCGTTCGCAAAATTTTGCTTCCGTTCG